ATACTTGGCAATGGTTCAATACAACGGAAAAGAGAAAAGTAAAAAAAAAAACAATGAAAGGGGGTCCATTATTTACCTCCCCCCCTCTAAAATGGACCCCCTCATTTTTTATTTTTTTTATTTTTTTTTCAATGTGGGGGGGTGGGGCCTCGGGTGCACCGCCGGAATCCCGACCCCAACCTTGGGTACACCCCTCCCCTCGCCCGCGGCACGCCTTTTTCGACCGCGGCCGCCGCGGTCATGACCGCGGGCCCGCGATCGACCGCATGGGCCGCGGTCGTGCCCGCGGTGACCGCGGCCTCGGGGGATACATAGTTTGAGAATGCTTTAGGATTTTGGGCACCTCTTGCAACTCATTTTAGGTTTTTTTTAACGCTGTTATATTCATGGATCTGCGGTTTTTCGATGCCAGAACGACGCTGGCCGGGGTTGGGGTGTTACCCAGTAACCTGTTGATAGCAGGAGCGAGAGGCCTGATAGAGAGATCTGGGGATGCCTTGGGCCGGGCATTCCAAGGGAAAACCAAGGTTTGTTGTCGGTACGACGCTGGCCGGAGTTGGGGTGAGTTGTGTTGCCCGACCTAGCAGGATGGGGGCATGAGGCCTGGGAAAGCTCGGCAGGGAATAAGACGGTGTTAGAGAATTTTAGAATGTTTTTTTTGGGGATTCCAGGGGTTCTGAGCATTCAAAGGGCTTCTGTGGCTTTCCGTTTTGACTTAGTAAGTGCTGCTTGAGTAGCCTAGCAATAGGTTAGCAACTATCCATGTTTTTCCTAAGCTTGCTAGAATCTTTTCATAGTTCTCAGATCGTTCTTAGCCGAAGCCAGGTAATGGCCCTGGTATTTCAAATCATTTGTAAAATTCTATATGGGAAGTTGGAAGCTGGGCCCGGTTCCCAGCACGTGTTGCTCCCCACAAATAGATTGGAGCATTTGTCCCAAAAAAAAAAAAAAAAAAAAAAAAAACCATACATGCTAATCGAATGGTTGCGTCCCCTCATCAAATGCAATATAACAGTTGGTTCATGGCGCCCAGGCCGTGCATAACAACATTTGTTTCGGCTTCTAGGCCCTTCCTCAAAGATTCGGAAACAGGCCTTGGGCCAGACACGAGGCACAAACTGTACACAGGACGTCTGGCAGTTGAACACGGGTAACTGACAGAGGCCTAGCGTAATCTTTCCCTGGAACAGAGGCCCAGCGACTTGGGGCCTACCGGAAGCTTCTGGGCAGAGGCCAAGACCAGCCAGGCAGCTCCCGACTGGCAGCCGCTTTCCATAAAGGAAAGTGCTTGGCTACTGGTTGGGCATTCGGGCCCTCGCTGCTTCAAGCGTAAGCGCTGCTGTGCTAGCTTCTGATGTGAGTAGCCTACGCGCTCACAGCGAGCAGGGTTGAACGCAGGCAGCCATAGCCGGGCTTGCCTGCTCATTGCTGGATGACACGCATGGTGGTCTTCGGGTGCATGTGGCATCTATGTGGGGGATCGATGTTGTGAGTGTGGGGAGGACATACCTGGTGCTTGATGCGGATGGCATTGGCCGAGATCTGCTCGTACTTCGGAATGCTGTTGACGTCACCGGCGGCGTTGTAGATAGGATGTGACGAACCACTTTCTGTAGCGCGCGATTCTCTGCGCGGTTGCAACGAGGGGTCCTAAGTTGGGAAGATTGGGCCAATTACGGGAGATTGGGATCGGTGGAGAATTGCATCAGTGTCCTTGCTTTTTCGTCCTTTTTTATCGCTTCTCTTTTTGAATGGCCGAGCACGGGGTCGGGTGTGTCTTGGGACGGCCGGTTGATTGATTGGTCGGATGTGGCGCGACGCCACGTGCGCGCAATTAATAAATGTTGACGTCGTTTCTTTTGGTTCGGTTTCGATCTTTTGGGCGCGGACATCGCGCGAGAAATTGCTTCATTCTTTTTGAAGTTCCTTTTGAATCTTTTTTCGAATTTTGTCGAGGACCCCCCTTCGATGGCTCTCGGAATTTTGGACTTTCCTTCTGGAATTTGTGCTTTTTGCTTTTTCACAGTAGATAGGAATTTAGGAATTCAGTAATTAGGATTTTCCTGCTGCGCGGCGCCTTTTGTCTACGCGGTTCTTCATGCGGCTGCAACGACACTCTGATTAGTGGGCGCCCTTAATCGTATGTGTAACTGTAATTTTGGGCGGGCGTCATTCTAACTGTATTTTTCTTCTTGCACTTCGTCTCTCCCGCCCTCCCTCTCTTTCTTTTGCTGAAATTTTCGTAGCCCGCGGCTTGCATGCTCGGATCGATGCGTGGAGAAGAGATACGTCCCCCACGCCGCGACCCGATCATGCAGAACGCAGGCGCTCCCTCTCTAATCTTCACTCTAAGTCCTGATAATTCCGTGTTCTTCGTGCATACATGCACGCTATAAATTTCGGATGCGCGATTACTCAGCTCTCTTAACCCGTTGTTGGAAGCTCGGGGTTGCCGATCAGGAAGGGTCGGCACACGAGCGAAGTAAGAGGTGAGTAGAGTAGGAGTTGGGCGACCCGACGGGCTGGTGTCGAACGCGCAGGATTGACGTGGGCCACGACGGGCTGTGGGCACGGGCGAATCCGACGGGTGCGAGAGGACTAAACGGGGTGACAACTTCGTGTGTTGGTGCGCGACGACGGACTGTCCGCATCGGAGAGAGAGAGGAGGAGAGA